AGCCATTGTGGTTAATGAGTAATGTAATAAATTTATTTGATCAATTAAAAATTAGTGTATGTTTTGCAATTACTATCGACCAAATCTTTAGCAATGATTGCATCCTATATAATATTTCCTATATCATATAATAATTTATTCCAGTGTTGCTATGAGGTTATGATTTTGAGGAACAATATAATTTTCGAGAAACACGGTACATTTCCTTGACAGCCCGTACCTGTCGAATTACAAAAGGTCGAACAATGATTCGAACATTAACATTTATGAAATTATCATTAAGAACAATCCGATGTAGTATTGACGTGAACCAAATGAATGAACTCTTTTGTAATATCACATTAATATTTTAACGCACGTTTCTGGAAAGCATATGGATATTTGGAGAGAAATTATATAAATAGATCGCACATAAGATATATATATATATATATATATATATATATATATCTTCTATATATATAAAAATAAGTCGGGTTTTCCTTCCTGACGAAATAACTCCAGAACGCACGAACCGATTTCGACAATTTTGCATTCGTTGGAAAGGTCTCGGGCTCCGCAAGGTTTATAGCTAAGAAAATTAGTTGTGCATGGCATCGAGCCTTAATGCAAGCTGCTGGAACTTCACGCACCGTAATTAAAAATTCGAGTAATGACATTAGTGAGAATTATCAGAATTATGCTTGGTTAAGTCAACGAGCAATTCTTGCCGCAAAGAATAATGATGTACACGCCCTGAATTTCACCATTCAATCAAAAATTGCTGGCGATTTGGTGACATACCAATGATTCTGACTGGTCTTCCGTTTGACTTCAAACGATTGCAATATCCAGTTTGCCTTGCGTTTGCAATAACATGTCGCAAGGCCAATCGCTTAGTGTTTTTGGGATAAATTTCAAATAGATTATTTAGAAAATCATTGTTTTTCACATGGGCAGTTATACGTTGCCTGCTCACGAGTTGGAAAACCATCCGCTTTGTTTGTGTTAACGTCAGACCAAAAAACAAAAAATGTGGTTTACTAAAGAGCACTTCAATGGAACGGATAATTTGCGAATTCACTTTCATTTACTTAGAGAAGTTCAACTAAAAAACACTTCATTTTTGTAATCGAAATAAATTCATTACTTTTGTATGATAAAATCAAATTTTTCTTTTTCAAATATAAAACAAACAAAAAATTTCTTCATCTTTCTCACGAAACCATCTGGTGGCAAACGGAGTTCGTCGGGTATGCTAGTATATATATATATATATATATATATATATATATATATATATATAATTCTGGACAAATAATATAGTTCGCACATAAATAAACTTCGCAGCGTTTTTGTCTTGAAAAAGCATTTTCATACTAAAGTATGTATTTTCTTTTGGAGCTTGCATTGAGAGATTATAAGAAAAAATTGTTGAAGGAATACTAATAAGTTAGAGAAATTCATGAAGTTGTAGGTTTAAATTGCATAATAAGTCTTACTAACGTGAAAATGTGAATCAATTCTGTCATTTTTCGGCTTAACATTTAGACATGATTAACATTACTAAATCATTATATCTCATCAGGGTAATAAAAAATTATTATTTGATACAAATGCAGTTTTTGAAAATGCTATGCATATATTTTTTGGTTTTTATTGTATTTATTTTTTTAAAGACAATTCTAAATAGTTGATCTATCTATTTAATATATTTTATATTAGAATTAACACAGTGGTTATCCTTTCCATAATAGCGATGAGATACTTTACTGCAGTATTGCTGGTAAAATCAATTTTCACTTAGAGACATATTTTGATCTATATTTTCAAGTAAAAATTGTTAGCATTTTTGCTTGATTTCTAGTTGTCCAAACCGCAGATTTGAATCCGGTACTCCCATTACCTTACTAGGTTGGGGTACAATAAAATGTATTTGTGAAAAAGCAAAAGCTATCCTTTAACTTCATTAAAAATAAAGGTTTTGCTTCAAGTTTTTAGGTTTACAATTTTGAATCGATGCATTTATTGATATAATATCTGGGTTATTATTAACTTCCCGTAAGGTAAGTTACAGTAATCGCAAAAAAATCGAAAATAAATTTTTTTCCACATCTTTACATTTTAAGGACTTCTGAACTTTTTGGCATACTTAGAAAAAATGCGTATATACGTATATACGTAAAAGTTCGTATGTGTGTGTGTATGTGCGTGCGGATACAAATTTCGTCGACGATTTCGGGAACATGGGTCAATCGATTTGAATAGTTCAAAAAACAATTATCTAATAATAATTCGATTTGTACTGATAAGGAGACGTGCTGATTAGTTTTTGGCAAAAAAGTGCCATTTGGCGGACGACTATCACATATTTTATAGATTTTTTTAAATAATAAGAACAAATGCTTACTTTTTTATGAGTACCGTACCAATGTTTATCCGTTTCAAAAAGTTTCAAAATATATATAACATACAAAAAATCAAATTTTTCAAAAAGGTCATTTTTTTTCAAAAATTTAAAAAATTTCAAAGATCGATTTTTGAAGAAAATTGAATCTTTTAAAAAAAATAATTTTCAGTACGGGAAGTTCCAGCAATTTTGCTGATTACCATTAGTGGTTATTATTTCACACGTTTCCATTGTTTCCTCAATGTACATTTACAATCCTTTGAAATATGTAGATTTATGCAGGAACGTTATAAGACAAATACTGTAACTCTATTTACTAGTGCCGATGGTGAACAATGCAAATTCAAGTCTGAGATTGCGGTCTTTCCCATATATCCTACTCGGAGAGGCGATAACATTTGAAAAGATTCTGAAAACTTTAAAATTTTCCATGCTTCTCTCTAAATCATATTACAAAATAGGATGATGGATAGGAAATACATGTTCTCACTTTAAAAACTTGAATTTGTAGCTATACTATCTAAAAAACGTATTGTCGCAGTTGGTAATAAAAAAATTGAAAGCTACAAATAACTACTGCAAATAAACAAATTATTATTATTAAAATTTTCAGCAAACAGTAAAATTACTATAAATTCGATTGGTTCTGTAACAAAAAAATGGTTGTGGTATTCTAACTATTTATTATCAAGTTATATAAATGTATTTTAGTTTAAATCTTGTAAAAGTTTTAATTCCTACAAAATATTTCAATATAAATGTATCTCATATATTTTATTACTATGCTATGTTTTAAATATATTGCCGCATGAAAATTAACCATATTTGTAGTAATAGTTATGTTTAATGTTTTAACCAGATTTGTAGTAATAGTTATATTTAATGTTTTAACGTTCAAATAATTGTTTTGTTATCTTCTTTTGAGGATAGGTATTCATGTAAATTAAATGAAATAAAAATCTTGAAAAGTAATAAAGACCATTGTAATTAAAATGCAAATAATTGACAGTTTCAAAGTTATGGGGGTTAGGGGCTGGTTGTAACAGTTTTTATTTTTAATTAATATACCTTGAGTACCACTGATTATATTTCTACAACATAAAGATGAACAGATGCTTTAATCATTTCTCTATAAAATGAAATAAAAGTAATTTTGCAGTTACTATTCATTATATCACAATAAATCATTTTTAAGAAAAAGTGCGATGTTACAACTTATGTGTTTGGGGCTAATTGTGACATCTACCGGGGCAGGAAGTAACAACAAAAAAGCGACAATAATGTTTCTGGTATTATATTCTTTGACTTGTTTTATAAATAATTATTTTTGTAAATCAGCGCATCTATAATTAATATGAGGAAATGTATAGTTTTAAGTTTCATCATAAATCAACGTAAACTACAATTGTTATCATAATATAAATGAATAAAGCGCCTCCAGTAACACAATTTACATGTGCCCACATTTTACAAATTATATATTATATCTAATGTTTTTCACTTCAATCTGTATATAATTCTTGTATGTTACAATTAGCCTCACGGTTTTCGGCATCCACCAACCAGGTGTGATTTTTTTACATTAATCAAAATAACTATTTAAACAATTTAGCAACCACAAACATTGTTACACATTATTATGGAGAACGGTTTACATGTCCAATGAAGAAATAAAAACATTTTAATATCTTTTATGATCCTATTGAAAAGCTTCTATTACTAATACACCTCTTGCAGATTGCCCCCAGCTCCCCTACAGATACCAAATACAGATTGTAAGAGTTAAAGAAAGTTAGTGACATACCAGTGAAAAATCAGATGAATCGAAAATATAATGCACCATACAGTTTTTCTAAAGACACAAACATACCACAAAAAATATTATAAATTACTAATGAAAGACTACTATATTACACTGGAAGACACTTCGCTTAAATTCAATGTTTCTATAACAAATTTAAACTGAAAATGAGAATTTTATAAGAATAGAATGCGGGTCAAAACATATATATTAAAATTGCAGTAAATAAAATTTAAAAGGTTTACAACAATGGTCTAATATTTCCGATGAATGAAGATTATTTTTAGTCGCCACGACACCATGCAAAAAACCATCTTTACTAAAGGTGTTGGGAAGAGGAACTGCTTGGTACTACAGTCGATTAACAAATGCAAGCATAAATTTTTGAAATTCTAAAATATAAGACAAGATATCATCAACAAACATTTTGTATACAATGTAGTGATATCTATTGTGCATTTATTGCATAACATGCAGTGATAGCTATTTATACAAGGTATCGTTTTCCTCGCCGGAATCATGCAAATAACGTAATTTTGTTGGTGATATCCAATCTAATATTTTAAAAATTTGAAGGTCTATGATTACATTAGTTAATCGACTGTTGAACCGAGACGTTCTTTTTGCTAAAACCTTTGGTATCGACGGGTACCAAAGTACAGTCTAGTAATGGGGCAAAATGCCTCGTGGCGACTAAGAGTAATCTTTCTTAATCGGGTTTGTTTGTAAAGTTTTTTTTAAATATTAGATATAAGTGTTTAAATATAAGATGTAGTGATTTTATGAAATTTATATTTTTTAATTCGGTGTGTTAGTGTGGTGCATTCTACTATGGATTTAGTCGCTTTTCACTGGTATGTCCTTAACTTCCCATAATTCTTGTTAAGATCTGCAAGTGATAATTGTATAAGATTTTCTGTTTTTTTTTTCTATTTTTTTATTACAAATTATAATTATTATTGATGATAAATAATATATTTTTTGTATTCACGTTAAATAGTCAGAATTTATTTTATTTCACTTTGCCCTTCGAAAGGTTTTGGATCCATACCATATCCCTTAGACACATAATATAAGTTTTATGGTTTATACGCATTATTACTAATATACTAGTATGTCATTTAAATAAATATGCGTCTTATAAAATTGTATCAAACGAAAGTAAGATATATTGGCTTTTTGTATCAGCAATTATTGCATAATCTAAACACTGTACCATAATAATGTAGGTATATATGATATTTTCTACCTGCTATACAGTATGTACCAATACATGTTTTGACTTACAAATCAAATATTTGACATCAATTTTGTATAAATGCAATTGGTTTTATATTCGTTTCTTTAACACGCTAATCGCCGAATATATCAGGAAAATCTTCAAATGATCCAATGTATTTTTATTAGATAATTCAGTTAAGTTGTCATAATTTTATAAAACAATTTAAAATATTTTTTTAGAATATATCAGGAAAAACACTACTGGCAAACTTTTACATTAACTCTCAAAGGGCCCATATCACTTTTGAGTCACATTTCAAATTTTTGACGTTTTACTAAATAATTGTTTTTTTTTGTAAGATGAATTATAAATCTTAATTCTAAAAAGTTGTCAGAACAACTAATATTAAAATTTATGACCTTTCAGAATTGCGAGCATTATAGGCCGCTGTGACTTGAAAGTCACATGATATCAAACCCAGCAAATACCAAGCGGCGGTAGCAATTTGAAATCCACATTGATTATATATGGGTGTCACAACGCTGAAGGCACGCTTGTGGATTTCAGATTGCTGCCGACGCTCACATCACACGGTGTTTACTAGGAAAGTCACAAGCCACTGATACTCAAAACAAATGTTCGAATAGATCGAATAGATCGAATAGATCGAATAGATCATCCCGTACGCATACGACTGCATACGACTTGCATACGACTGCATACGACTTGCATATGACCGCATGCAGAACGTACTTGTTATATAATCAGTTGTTACCTGTATAAGAGGCGGGATTGATAAACTGATATCATTATTATATATCAAATTGACCAATACACTTGCGAGTCGGGATTTTATTTTGCATATTATAAATATATTGTAAAATTAAAGAAATAAAAATTTATTTTTGTAACTAAGTATATAATTATCAATAGACTTGTAATCGCCGATTTTTTATTCCTTTTTGTTTTTTGATGGTAACAAAAATTCGGTTCAGGGAGGGGTTAAAGGGGGGTTAATGTAACTTCGGTTTTTTTATTATCATATTGTTTTATTATCCTATTTTTTCGATGCGAAACAAAAATTCGGTCTATGAGGGGTTAATGTAACTTTGCTATATTTCATATTCTAATGTGTTTCATTTCTAATGTTTTTGTCTCATATATAATCTTGTGCATAGCTAAGATTTTAATATTACTTTTATTCAATTGAATGGTTAAATGATGCAATTGAGACTTGTCACTATTTCGACAAAAACAAATGATCTGCAAACAAATTATAATAATAAAATACATTTAATAAATATTATGATAAATTTTTGGGTATATATCAATTTTATATTTTTAATATGTATGTATTATAAATCGACATAATGATAAGTTTAAATACTTAATGTTATCTTTGCAGATGCTTCTCGGCCTCAGTATTTTAATGCTGATTTGCAAACTATTTTTTTATGCTGGCTACATATTTGGATAAGTATTTTGAACTTTTCAGCATGCTTTCATTACATTAGTGATTTTTGTTATACCAATCGTTATTATATATATATATATATATATATATATATATATATATATATATTAATAGTTCTCTTACATATCCAAGTCCTCCGGGTATGGAACTCTGAATCATATAGCCCATCTTCAATAAATTATTATCAAGAACCTACACCCAATTTCTACGGATTCATAGTAGTCGAAAAAGAAGTCATTTAATATTTAATACTCTAGATATTCCGATAATAAACACGCTTGAGTAGGCTTCGAAAACCCTGTATTGTACTCAAGGGTTTAAGAGTTACCTTTCTGAACCGTTTGTAATGTATAAATCTCATGAATAAACGAAAACGAAATAGAGAACGATGTACATGTCAAGTCGATATTATCCGACTAGAAACTGTCCTTTTTTTGCCACTTAGAATTTTGTGGAAACTTTATTAATAACTTATGTTTGTTTACAAATTTTAATAACATGCCCAATGTCGTTGAAGTAAAACTTCTTTAGGTTGGACTATGGTGCAAATTCGTACAAATGCAACGGAAGTGCGTTACGGCAGATAAGAGTCGAATGCCAATAATACGTCATTTGCTCTCGATGATATCATTTCTAAACGTGTCGGTTGTGATTAGTTGTCGCGTATGTGAATAGAGATCTGTCGTTGTATGAGCACCGGCATTGACGTTGTATGCGTACCGATATCAACAAAGAAATCGGCATAGATAAATAAACATTTTAAAATTACATCGTAGTACAATACTTGATTTAATGAAAAATGTCTGAATCAGAAGAGTATTTTACCCTGTCCCCCGTAAACAATTATAATGAAAATAATAAATCAAATATAGCATTTGCGTTGTGTATGAAACATAAGTTTATTGAAATAATTTTTATATTATTCGTAGTTTCTATAAATCTTTAAAGTTATTGAGATAGAAAATATTTTTTAGGTAAAACAGATATTACAGCTGTTCAAAGAATGAGATTATATCGCCAGCGAAAAAGTAAAAAAAATACCATCAGTCAATAAAAGTATGTTAATTTGAATTACATGAAGTTGTTCAAACAATTACATGATGAGTTATGTTGCCAAAACAATATTTGTTTAGGCGTTGTTTAACATAATCCATTGTGTGAACTAATTAAAGAATTTATTAATAAGCAATTACTTCATTTCTCTAATAAAGATTCATTTCTAAATGCTAATTACAATGACAAATCGATCATGTCATATTTAAAGTATGACTTTAACTACATTATTGTTCTTAAATATTATACATATTTTTAATGCTATTATAACTATATAATTTATAATAACTATATATTAACTAATGAATATGTACATCACGAGTGAGCCTTACGCGAACTCCTTTTTATTTGATCATCATTTACAAACCATTTATTAATCTATGAAGACTTTTGGTTCAGTATTTGGTAGCCCAATGGTGGTCGTTTATAGCTGTGATATTGTTTAACATACTTAATTTATATATTCCTTCATCAATGCCCAAAAGGGTTATTTTTACGTGGATTTTGATCTACATTTTTAAGTTGAAATGGGTATTAGTGATATCCATTATCACTACTTATAGTTGCAAGGCCGAGGTTCTCCATAATTTAACATTGGTGAACGAATTTTTAATGCACAATGAATTGATAAATTCCTAATAAAATTTCTTCCTTATATATTGTGTAGAGCTTAGAACAAAGAATCCTAATAAAATTTAATTTAAGATAAGATTTTATCCTAATATATTGTGTAGAGTTAATAATTAAAAATAAAAAAATTAGAGTTAATAAGTTAATAATTAAAACCCCCCAAAGGTTTTTTTAAAAAAAAAAAATTCATCATTGACGTTTTGGAACTAAGTACGTCCCATCTTTAGGACATGATCTTGATAAGATACAAACAAACCAAAACAATATACTTACAGAGAGACTTACTAAACAAGACAAAATAAAAATTAGATTTTATCAAAATTAATATACTTCTAAACAAGAGATTATATAAAATATAGTAAATTAAAATAATAAAAATAATCTGGTATGCAAACGGAACCCATACAAATACAAGAAAAATGGTTTTAATCAGGGTTATTTTATTCCAGAAAATCATAATTGCCGGGGTTAATTTATTTCAGAAAATCATAACTGGGTACGTTTGTGCCACTTTTTGAGCAGTAATAATTTTGCTAATTTACCAGTTAGCTGGAAGTAAAGTATATTAAATTATAATTCAAACATTTGTCTACGTTGAAATACTTAGATATTGTCCTTAAATACAATAGATTTGTCAGAAAATCAAATCATACCAGAAAAGGGCAAGTTGTGACAAGCATGATATTAGATTGAAAATTAATAGCCGTAAACACCAAAATAGTTTATAACGTCTTTTACTTTTGTTTATAACAATATTCTGTAACACAACCCATTATAAAATTTATGAATTAAATATAACAAAACATATTTTTTAAAATGCAGTTAACAAGAACTCTTTGCAAAATCTTTTTTTTTTGTAAAAAGTGAGCTTTTTTAAACCAAATGAAAGCATTTATGTCAGATAAAAGCGCTGTGTATGAAATTGCTAGTATGTATAAGTTCAGACCGATATTATCCATTTCTTGCGTTATAATAATAAGGAAAATAAAAAACATGACAAAATATAAATTATTTTCAAGCAGTTTGAGTTAAACACAGTTGTTTTTAATAAAAATACTTAATAACCGTATAAACTGGAATGCTGACTGTTCGAATTTTCCACATATATCACATGTTCCACTAAGGCTTCAACATTTATTTCCAATAGAAGTTTATTGCATTTCCCTACAAGCACATTTTCTTCATTGCATGGTCTTTCGTGTGAAGTATATATATATATATATATATATATATATATATATATATATATATATATTTAACGTGCAATAAAAATCACACGAGTAAGTTCAACATACGTTAAAAGTCAAGAAATAGTTGATACTAAATCATTCACAAGTTTTATAGTTGGATATGGGGCTATTTTATGTACTTTAAAGTCATTTCTTAATTAAAAAAATGTCTTTATAAACCTTTAGTTCCGTACCGTTCGAGATATTGCAAACAGGCATTTTACTTCTTTCTCACTCGCTTGAAAA